AAGACGTTTCCGTGGTCATGTGGCCAGCATGACTAAACACCAAGGCGCACGGAACGCTGTTACCTTCCCACCGAAGTGGTACCTATTTATCTACTTGCAATTTCTTGCTTTCGAACTGCTAGGTTGGCAGGAGCTGGAACTAGAGACGGGAGCTCACTCCATCATGCGGCACCCGGGTCTCGAACTGCTAAACTACCGACCTTCCAGCCTGCAGTTCAGCGTCTTAACCACTTGAGCCACCGCAGCTCCTGTACTCTGCATGAAATGCCCTGGGAAAGTAGTGGTGTTTTGGCAGCTGCTAATGAAGCTCCTCAATGAAACAAGAAATAGCACTATTGTGCTTTTAGTTCTCCCATAGGAAAGATTGCTAGATAAAGCCCCAGGCTAAGGATTGCAGGTACTCTCATAAGGCATCACAGCTGGGATACAAGAATTATCCCCATGGTGTGTTTTAGTGTTGATCCACATGAGGCAATAAAGCTGTGTAAAAACTGTCCTCCAGAATGAGAAGTCATGATGTGCAAATCTTGCTATTTATACATGAGGACCAGTCACTCTACCCCCCACCAGGGTTCCCGCTAAGCTGAGTTAGTGTGAGCTAGCTCACTGTTTTTTAGCCTCTGGCTCACACATTTTTGCCTTGGCTCAGGAAGGATGGCTCCAGAGCAAACTAATGTATGCAGCAGCCAAATTGCTTGCTCACAACTTTCATGCCGGTAGCTCACAAAGTAGAATGTTTGCTCACAAGACTCCACAGCTTAGCGGGAACATTGCCCCCCACCCATACAAAACCCAAGTTGGAGTTTGTAATGTTTCATATTGGAATACTCTCACTGAAATAGTTTTTATTTCTCAAAAATGTTTTTGGTATCATCAGAATAAGTTTGCAAGACCTGAGAATGGCTGTTAATGATGTCTACTGGGTCACCGTTGTCTACATGCTTGTTCACTCTCTCAAAGAACTCCAAAAGGTTGGTGAGGTGGGACTTCCCTTTGCAGAAGCCATGCTGATTTTTCCTCAGCAGGCTTTGTCCCTCTATGTGCCTAACTATTCTATCTTTGATTACAGTTTCTACTAATTTGCCTTGGAGAGATGTTAGACTGACTGGCCTGCGATTTCCTGGTTTCCCTCTGGATCACTTTTTAACGATTGGTGTAACATTTGCCACTCTCCAGTCTTCTGGTACAGTGAGAAGGTAACATATACGGGTTAGTAGATCAGTAATCTCACATCTGAGTTCCTTAAGAACTCTTGGGTGTATGCCATCAGCACCTGAAGACTTACTGGTTTTTAATTTCCCCAATAGGTCTAGAACTTCCTCTCTGGTCACCTCAATTTGTTTCATTTCTTCAGATTCCCTTCCTGAAAATAGGGGCTGAGGAATGGGTACATGCCCCACACTTTCCACAGTGGAAGGAGGAGGAGGAGGAGGAGGTTGGATTTATACCCCACACTTCACTACCCGAAGGACTCTTAGAGTGGCTTACAATCTCCTTTCTCTCCCCAGAACAGACACCCTGTGAGGTAGGTGGGGCTGAGAGAGCTCTCCTGAGAACTGCTCCTGAGTAAGTGGTTTCTGGGCGGGGAGGGAAGGCGGGGGGGGGGGGGAATCAGCACAAAAGCACTCTCAGAAAACCTGGAGAAACAGCGACCAGAAAGTAAACTGAGCGCCGAAGGGAAGAAAATCGATTCAGAACGACAAAGAAAACCTGATGGACATGCACAGTGAAAAGCGAGGGAAAATACCCATGCATAACAGGCCATGGTGACCCCAACCATGGGGCCCTCCAGGCAAGAGAGGAGCAGAGCTGGCTTTGCCATTGCCTTCCTCTGCAGGCCAACCCCGCTCTCCCACCCAAGTA